TCTAAAGAAAGTATCCGTACACAAATATTATATATTTGTAGCAAGAAATGTGCCAAAAGTCTGAAAAATATTTAGAAGGAAAGATAAAGAGATATAAAGCTTTTTGGCATTTGTTAATAGGAAACTTAATATGTGTAAAACGCATTAATAAGCCAACGATAACTAAATGTTTTGGCTTCTATTTTCGGCCGAATGAGAGCCCCCAAAAAAAAGTATGTTGAAATAAATATTAATTTATTCAAATAAAAAAGTATGATTTATTTACAATATATTACTATACAGTATATATTATAAAAAACAGGTTGAACTCCACCCCTAGCAAAATATGACTCTTTCATTTACTCTTCAAAAAATTATTCCCACCCTCATTATATTATTAAATATTTAATAAATTTTAGAAAATATTGAAAATATATAATTAATTACTTAGCAATTAATACACCCAATAAACTACACTTAAATTAATAAGCCAATAAAAATGTTACCACAAAGCATCATACGGCCCAACTTTATTTCCCATTTTTTAAAATTGCTATTCAAATAATTAATTAAGCAGTTTCCGAAATAATTAAGACTACTTTAAATTCAAAAACTGCAGTATATCAATCCCAAGTGACGCCAGAATTATGCCCGATGCCCAAGTGACGCCGGAAATTGCCCAGATTGACCCAGAATATTTCTGACCCGATAACCAAGTAGACGTTAGAATCTGCCCGGACGCTCTAAGTTGCACAAACGGAAACCTCTACATGATCTCCAAAAGTTGATTTTGGAGTTTTTTGCCCACAGAATATCATTTAACGCCAAAGTTCTCCCTGGCCGCCGACTGATTGGCTCTACCCAACGACGGAACCTCCGGGCTCGTCCGCTCATATTCCACCTTGATGACAACTTATGTCCGTTGTCGGGTTTCGCCGAACCTATTCTGATGCTGGATTCTGTTTCGTTTGCCGGACTTCTGCGATTACAGTCCTTCCTACCTTCCGTCACCAGACAACGGTCCTTCTGACCTCCGTCGCTCGCCGACTACGATCCTTCTAACTTACGTTGCCCACCGACTACAGTCCTTCCGATCTCTGTCGCCCGCCGACTACGGTCCTTTTGACTTACGTCGCCCACCAACTATAGTCCTTCGGACCTCCGTCGCCCACCAACTACGGTCCTTCGAACTTATGTCGCCCACCGACTACAATCCTTCCGACCTCCGTAGCCCCGCCGACTACGGTCCTTCCGACTTACGTCGCCCACCGATTACAGTCCTTCAGATTAAACAAACACATCATCATTGACTATTTGTATTCCTACCACGTAATGTATTCCATATGATGTACATCAAGCCATGGCCCTCCCCCCAAAGAAGGGTCTCATTTGTAATCGACTGCAAATAATAGTGGATTCATTCAAACTAGGCTAGGCCCCCGTTGTGTTCCCCCTTTTTAGGGGTTTTTCACATAAAAATCTTTGTTTCTCATAATTGCTACACCTTCTCTCTTATTTGATTGCGTGCTGGATTTTCGTAACATGCTAAGATGTTAAACTTTGTATTTATCTACCGTCGCATATACTCCATAACGCAACAATTATAAAATTTATTTCTTTTAAAATAAGTAAAGTTAAATTTATCTAACTTTTTTTATAATTTTTATTTGAATTTAATTTTTAAAAAGTTAAATAAATTATTAAAAAAATAAATAAAATTGGAAGTTTGATAAATTTAAATTGAAATAAAAATTAATGTGAATTTTAAAATAAAAGTTATAAATAAATAAATTTAATTTAAATTAAAAGTTATATATAAAAAATTTAAAATTAGAGTTATAATTAAAAGGAATAGAAAAAATATTTTCTTTATATTAAAATCGGAGAATACAATAATAGTTAAACTGGTGAATAAAGAATAAATTTTTTGCGAAAGTAGAAACTCAAGTTTTGATTTCTATTGAAATCGGATAATTAAGTTCCGTATCTACTCAGTTTTAAATTTTTTTATTAATCTACTCAAGTTAATTTTAAATTTAAGAATGAAGATACTTTTAATAAATTAGTCCAGAATAGGCTTTTTTCAAATTAAATTATTATTTTTATATTTTAAACATAAACCAGTGATTAAACAAAAACAAAAAGCTAATTAAAATATTCTTAGCGGTCAATAGTCATACGCATGGGGCTCAAAAGCATTAGAAAGGGACTTTTGTTCTTTGCGGCTTTTTTGTAAATCACTAATCAGCCAATCGGAATATACGGCCTGCTTTTGGGTGGGCCCCCGTGCAGTCCTAAGTTGTCTTTTATTTTGTTTGAATATCTTTTAAATATTATTAAAATTAAAATTTTAATGGCAACTGATAAAATAGATTTATCAGAGCATCAGATTCTTTGAAAAATCACATTAATTATATATTGAATTTTTTTAATGATTATTAATTTATCTAATTTATTTTTTTATTAAAATTATTTTAGAATATTAAATATTGAAAGTTTTAAATACCTCCCACTGATAAACTTTTTTAATTAAATGTTAAAATAAAGATTAGTCTCTTCATTAACTTAGAAAAAATATTTGTAAACCTTTAAATTTTAATCATTAACATATAAACTTGCGAATCTTTTCCTAAGGGCAAATCAATAAATTTTTTGTTTATTTTGTGTTATTTTGCTCACATATTTTTTTTTAAAAAAATTGTGTTATATTGTATTCCTCATAACCCCAATTAAAGCATTATTGGGGCAGTTAAAAAATTTATTTGACCAAAAATAAAATTTTATGAGATTAGAGGGTCCCATAGATGAAATAGTAGACATATCATAAACAATAGCATAACAAATCATAAACAATACAAAATTATAATCAAAAAGATCATTTCATTGTGACAATTCCAAAGACATCAATATTATTTGAATTCAAGTATGTTTATGATATGAATTGATCAAATCAAATTGGTGGGATTAATCCCATATGAACATACTTAATTTTAAAACTTCTTATTAAATTTTGATCATCAAATGAAAAGAAGCCTCTATATTTAAAAATATTTTCTATTCTTGATATATCTTCAAAAACTCATTTTGATCGGGCACAAATCTCGATGCAAAATCAAGCCGGAAACTTTAAAAATTAAAGTCAGGGTCATCTGAACTCTGATTTCAACAAACTTATAGTCAAACTGAGCGTCTTGGAAATACAAACCCAACAACACCAAATTCGACTCAATCCGAGCCCAAATGAGTCCAAATCAAGGACATGAAGCGCTGTTGGAAAGTTTAGGGTAAAATTTGTGTTATCAAATGGTTTCCAAACATAACGTGCTTATAGTCGAATCGAGCGGCTCGACGTGACGAATCCAACGAGCCCAAGATCGCCAAATTCCGACATCATTAAGACCTTCAAATGTCATACGAACGATGCATAATCAAAAGATTCAATATCGGCAGTCCATCCAAAATATGAGAATCATATCAATAATATCTTTAAAAAATAGGCCAAAATTAAATATATGTTGTAGACTCAATAAGCTTCAAAGGATTCTCCTTCAAAATCTATTTATTTATTCCTTTGTGTCTATCTAATAAGCTAAATTCAGTTGAAAATAAATGTTTTACTTGTTAATTTGTATTCAACCCTTAATGGCCTAATCTTAGACTGATTCTAAAGTTGGAAAGTGACTTCAAAATAAATAATTTTTAATTAATTTTTAGATAAAAATATATATAAGAAAGAGAACCCCCTTTCATTGAAATAATCAAAGTATTTAATGAGATAGATTAATCATAATTATTCAAATAAAAATATATCACACTCTTTTTCAATTTAATTAGTCCTCATTAAATTATAATCTAATTTCAGTATAAATATAATTAAAAAAAGAAAATTCTAAATTTTAAAGAAAGAGCAAATTTTAGCAAAGAAACAAAAATATTATAGTCATATTTTTGTTTGACAACTATTTTCTAACTAATTTTTAAAACATTTTATGGGAGAGAAAAAGCAAGTTGTGAGTAGTGCGTCTGTGCTCTTATGGCTATAATATTTTTGTTTCACTCCGTAGTCACAAAACCTCGCTCTGTTTGTTTCATCCCGCCTGAGCAGTGCTTCTGTGCTCCTATGGCTCCTCCTGCGAAAGCTGCATCAATCCATAATAATGGTTATGTTAAACCGACATACAAGTAAAATTCTCCCCATCCACTGTTATGCTTCAATATAGCTGCAGTTGGTCAATCTGCAATTCAACAAGCAAGTTGTGAGTAACATATGTAACTTATGCAAGAAGACAAAGTTAATAGCTAACATATTTAATAGCTAACAGATTTAAATGCTAACATATTGAATAGCTAACATATTTAATAGCTAACATATGTAAATATAGGATACTAAAGCAAGATGAGATGAACAAACTCATACAAACTGAAGCCTGCGGTGAAGAAAGAGACCACGTCGGGAATAAGGATTTTAGCGAGATAGAAATGAAAAGATGTTACAAAAAGGACGATCGGAAAGCTGTCGCAAAAGGAGTTGGGAATGTCACGCTCGGTCCAGGAAGAAGGCGGGAAGGTAGACGGGAAGCAGGTGTCATCAGGGAAATAATAACGGCGTGATCTCTAAATACACACGGAGTGGTATTTTTGATTTTATGTCTGTATTTGAGTGGTATAAATAAAATTATAGTGATATGTATGTAAATCCCCTAAAAAAAATTCTTCTCATGCGATACTCCAACCAAAAAAAAAAACATAATTTTTTTCCATTAGTTTGACCCACGAGATTCTCTGTTTGCAGCATTCAGAGATGCCAATCTCCCCTCCCGTTTTTGACAAGACAAGAAATCGCGTGGCTCTGAGAAGTACCTTCGCCGACCGGCGAACTGACGATGCGGGAGAGGAATTGATGGCCATTATAATTATAATTTTCAATGTTTTTACCGATTAAAATAACTGTAAGTGATGAAAAGATTCGCCGCTCGGTGATTAATCAAAACAAATATTTTATGATTTATCGTTTAATAATAGAAAAAAAAGAAAGAATGGAAGGACCACCAACCTCTCTAAAATCTCCCCCAGCTCTCTATAGACGACGAGAGAAGCAAAGCCAGAGAGCATAGAAGCTTTATGATCTCCAAAAGTAGTTTTTTTTTCCCCTTTCTTCCTGCTTTCACTCTTCTCCCCTGCAGGTCGATGGGAATCTCTCTTTCCTCGTTTAGGGTTTAGAAAGCCCTTCAACAAGTTTCAATTTTGACCTATTTCTTCGTAGCTTGTGCGAAGAATCTGCATCGAGAGCTTTTCCGGCGAGATGATGATGTTGAAGAGCGGCGATTCGAATCTGAACCGAATCTCGCAGGATTTCGGGGAATCGGCAATGGGAAGCTTGAAGCAAGCAATTCTGGAGCAGGACTTTACTTTTCGTAAACAGGTTCGATGATTTTCTTCCCAGTTTGTTGATGCCATGGGACAAAATTCTGAGATTCTTATTACATCTGAGAATAAGACAAATTTCGTTATCTTTTCTAATGATTCAGCTTCGAGAGTTGCATCGCTTATATTGGACCCAGAAACACCTGATGAACGAGCTCTGTCAGAACGGGCAGGTTGGAAATGCTCTGTTGAGGAATGAGAGTGCTTTGCTCAGAAATCATCAGAGAAATTTCAACCTTCAACTTCCAGCTGATGTTTTTATCAGCATCGACCAGAAGAATCATAATAATCACCTTTCAGAGACAGATCTCTCCAAGTCCAGGAGGAAATTTGCTGTTGAAAAGAGCTTGCTCTCCTCATTTGGTTCTGGTTACAATGAGATTATTGATTTGGAGGATTCTGTGGATTTAGATAGCCATGAGAAGGAAAAGGTGAGCTTGAAAGAGAATCATGTGTGTTGTGAGTACTCTTCTATGGTTCATTTTGGTGAGGCACATGATAGAAGATTGAAAGAGCAGATCGCTCATGTTTCCTGTGTTGGTAAGTTTTCCTTTCATGCCTGTTGCACACTACAGCCCTGCAAATTTGTTTATAAATTCATTTGTCATAGTTATTTCTGTTTTTAGAACATTCAACAGATATTTAAAACTTTTTTTTACTATAATCTTAATAGTTTCTTATGACCTTTTGGTTTATTCAAGCACATATTTACCTGAGGCTGATAGTAATTTATCTTCAATGTATTTACTATGATTTCTGGGGCTATTTTACAGGAATTGATGATTCTAGCTTGGATTATGTAAATGATCGCTATAGAAATACACATGAATCTGAACCAGCACTTTTTGACCTTAATATGCCCGTTAGGGATTCAGGTGTTCATAATAGCTCAGAAGATTCTATTCTGGCTGATAATAATACAAAGAATTTTGAGCATAATGTGAGCATAGTGGATAATAATGTTCTGTCATCTGCTTATCCTGTAGAAGGAACAACAGGTTCTAGTGATGGAGCTCTAATTATCATAAATGAAACTCCAATTCCGTCCATTGAGCTAACTAAGCAAGAAAAAGGAAGAGATTCAATAGAGAATCTAAGTAATCATGAGGAAAGTGAAGAAGATACCTTATCAAGTCACACCTCAGACCAACAAAATGCATTACTTGGAAAGTCTTATAGTGGATATAACTCTAATGACATTAGGGAGAGTAGCTCTTATGAAAAAGGCATTCGAGAACCTGCTACTCTTTCAATTACTGATGATTCTGTAATCACTCAGTCGCATTCTACAGAAAATGAAATGTCTTATTTTGGTAATTTCAAGTCTGAAGAACAGGATATTGCCACTACAGAAGCTGCACAGGCTCTAATGGCTATTTCTTTCGGAAGGTCGGAGATTACATCAAAGAAATTTGATGTCATTGAAGTTGCAGAAGTCCCATTTAATGATGAGACTGATCAGCTTCAGGATTCTTCTGATTCTTTTGAAACTATGACAATGCACTTAATTGAGATACAAAATGATGATATAATGCCTGATATACCGAGATTGAATGTGGAAGAGAAGGAGGAAAGGATGATCAGGTCGAAAAGGGGGAAGGGGCTTCAAAATTTTCAGAAGGACATATTGCCTGGGCTTGTGTCCCTTACTAGGCACGAAATTTGTGAAGACCTGTATAGCATAAACTACAAGTTCAGAAGACATACTTCTAGTAACGCACGGAGCTTCTTTGCTCCAGTTACAAGAAGGAGATCAAGGATCTGTTCTGGGCGTCGGCAGCGCCGGAGCTTTCCATGGTGAATGAGGATTCTGTCTGAAGCAATTTACGTCATGAAGCTGATTCAAGGTAGGTATAATAAGTTGATGAAGCTCTCTAAAATTGCCATCTTTGCAACATTGCATTCACAATTTTGTATGTCAGTTGAATATGTTTGCCTAAATGAGTGCTTGAAAAGGAGAAAGAAAATTACTCGTTCAAGATTTCACAGTTTGCAATTATTTTTTCAAATTGTCAAGACATGGCAATTCTAAGTCTGTGGTGATGCCGTGATGGAATGGAATCATGGATTACATGATAAACAAATCATGGAAGGAACATTTTAGTGCTTTATGAGGATATTGGATCTTTCTTTTCTAGCCAGTATTCCTACACTAAAGTTTCACTCCCTCAAAACAACCCTGAATCTGTTGACTGGATTGGAATGCCAGTATTCTCATATATAAGTTCTATTAATCCTTGATTTCTATCATAAGTTATATCATACATGCTAATAGGACACGGTATTTGTCTCCTGGAGATGGATCTACAAATATATTTTATTGCTATAAAAATTATTATGGTAAAAAAGAGTTCTCCTAATCCGTTAACATTAAATAAAGTACAATTATTTGGTTTTGATAATTCATAAAAAATTGTCCTGATCGGGCATGAAACTCGAGGCATATCTAAATTGAAAATTTTTTAAATTAAATTGGGGCCATCCGATCTCCAATTTCAAAAAACTTATAGTCGAATTGAACGTCTGAATGAGATAATCCAGTGACACCAAAATTGATCCAATTCGAACTCAAATGAGCCTAAATCTAGAGCTTGAAGCTGAAATAAAAGATTAAAGTATTAATTGGATGATCAAATGATATCCAAAATGACATGCTTGTAGTTGAATCGTGCTACTCCATGAGAGAAATCTGAGCCAAAGATAGCTTAATTATAAATGTCATTAAGACACTTAAATGTTAAACGAATGCTTTGTGATCAAGGGAATCAGTATGGACCGTCCGATGGAGCACTCCGAATTTATCATTGATCTTCTCCATATTTGCGGAGCATGACACTTTCAAAATATATAAATAGACCCACACTTTCCAACATAAAAGGGGGTTTACACTTTTGGAGGCTAGAGACTCAAGAGAGCTTTGATGCTTTAAGCATCCTGAAACTCCTCCATGGCAGGCTGGCACCACCGCTGGCAAACTCTCGCTACCAAGCCTCCTTTGCTAGACCTTTTGTCAAATCATCGCCGTCGAACCTCCATCCTGCAACCATCGTCGGTCCTTCATCCGATTTTTGTCACCCACCACTTATGGTGCCTCCGACCAACATTGTTCTCCAACTACGGTGCCTCCGACCAACTATTTCAAGATGACTGTTGAAATGCAAGTTATTGAGACATTGTTCATATTATTGTACAAATTCATTATTACTACACAGATTTACTATTAGTGTATTATTTTATTGCTCCTGCCACTGATTTTACTGCTATCGATGCGGACATCAATACTGTTTGATGCTATTTATTCACTGTAATAATACTAAATATGTGACATACTTAGCACGTAATATATTGATTTGATACTGATATAGAATACATGAATAATATGTGTACACTCATACATGATTTTACTACATTGATATGGTTGATAGTCTTTATCGATGTTTAGATTTTACTGCTTTATATGATTTCTCTAATGATCGATGATAGTACTGATACGATGATTATTTTAGTGATTCAACACCCCTACTGGTTTAATGATTTTTCTATGGTACCACAGAGCTTTTCTAGTTACAACTTTTACTGCTATTACATGTGCATTTCACTATTTCTGTATTAATTTTTTATTATTAATGTTATTATTATAATTTGCATGTTGACATATATATTGATCCTTCATTGTGCTTTGAGTTCAATTGCATGATTTGGTTACTTGATGGGCTATTGAGCTTATTATATATGATTAAATGATTTCAGGTTAGGGCTAAGGAGTAGGAATGTGAGATTGACTAGGATCCCTCAGATTCAGGTTCTTAATTTAGCAATTATTTTGTACTCGTGACTGAATAATTATAATACAATTGTATATATCTTGAGTAGTGTACATAAGGGTGCAAACGAGTCAAGTTAAGCTTGAGTTAGTCCCGACTCGACCTCTACTCGCAAGCCAAATCCCAAGCCTGAACTCAAGCCTAGCTTAAGCTCAACTAGCCTTTGAAAACAAGCTCGCCAAGCGGCTCAATTCTGCAATTCAAACGCGAATGGTTTCACCACTTTCGTCGTTCGCACGTAGATGACTTCGCCCCTTACATAATTCACATGCAGATGGCGGGTTCACACTTCCCATGCAGCACACGACATGCAATACACACGGAACTATTTCAATGATTTTTCGGTTGAACTATAGTTTAAACCGGTTCAATGAGAATCTAGTTTTTATTTGGAATAGACCAGCAACTTGATCAATTCGCAATCAAACTGCTCACCAACCATTCGGGTCGAGTTTTAAAAACATTGATTTTAATTGGGCCAAGCCCCATGATTTTTACTTTTATAGGATTTTTCACATAAACACAATGGTATATGTTATGACTTTTGTACTTTTTTCTCTTATCTATATATATGTTGTATCTTCATACAAAATTAGTACCCTAAACTCTATATTATTCTACCATTATGATTGTTCCTACACGCAACAGGCTTATCAATAAAATGAAATAAAAAAATTGCCATAAAAAATGTCAAAAACATAGAAACGTCAGCCTATCATCTTTTAATTACAATATATTATGAAGGGAAAAATTTTAGACTAAAATATCATTATTTAAATTTACTTTTTAACTTGTAGATTTGTTTTAATACAAATATAATATACATTTTAATTGATTAATTATTATAATACTCATTCAAACAAATAAATTTTGACCATTAAAACCGATTCTTAATTATATAATATCACATTATTTTCTGCTAATGTAATGTCTTGTTTTAAACTTAAAAAATACTTAAATCAATAATTAAATATATCTATTTTATCTCCTGCTGTCCACATAAATATTAATGTCAACACAAATTAAAAAATTTAAATATATTCTGAAATCTTAAGCAATTTATTTCCACTTCAAACCGCATTCACATTGACCGCAACCAAGACCAAGTACTCGCTCGCAAAGCACAGAAGACTAAGAACAGTAATATATAAGCATGCACATAAATATTCTACTGTACTACGCACACAAGAAGCCTGCAGGGAGCTTCTTGCCGCAGTAGTTAAGAAGAAGGCTGAGATCCGCCAGCACCTTGAGGTTGACGCCCAGCAGCTTGGCCTTAACCGCCGTGCAAAGGCAGGCGGCGGCTTCGGCGTCGGTGATCGAGGCCTTCTAAGAGAGAGCAGCATGGCTCCTTGGGCGGCTGTCCGACGGTAACGTCGAGCAGCCCACCGAGGAGGTCTGAGCAGGCGCCGAGCTTCACCGTGTCTCTCGGGCACGAGCTCTTGTGGGGCTTTGGCGATGGTTTCGGCGAAGGCTTGTGTGGGGAAGGTGGACAGGTGAGGTGGGTGGAGGAAACATCAAGGGCGAGGAAGAGGAGGAGTGAGAGGATGAGGAGGGATGGATATGCATTGAGAGAAGCCATTTGGCATGTGACAGAGAGAGGTTGGAAGACTAAGTAGGATTGTTGAAGGAAGGAGATAATGATGAGGCTTGTTAGGGTTTCGAGTTGTGAAGGTCTAGGGTTTTATAGTGAACTATTCATTCATGGAGGTGTGAGGGGGAGAGAGGTGGATGTACAGTCATGTGAAGAGGAGATGTGTGGGGGCAAGGAGGAGCTGGAACTGAGTAATTTGAGGTGAATGTTTATGGCTATAAGATTTAGAGCACCGGCTAGCATGTGCCCGACCAATGCTTAGTCTCTTTCTCTACACACATCAGAGAGAGAGAGAGAGAGAGAGAGAGAGAGAGAGAGAGAGAGAGAGAGAGAGAGAGGAGAGATTATTGGGTTCGGACATAGCTTAGCGTTCGGTACTTCACAGTATCGAATAATATTGAACTCGGTATTGTGAAGTGCTGAGTTCGATACTTCACAGTACCGAGCAGTACTGAATTTGGTATTGAGCGGTACCGAGCTCAGTATTGCTCGGTACTATGAAGTAACGAGCTCATACCGAGCTCAGTACCGAGTAGGAGGTGATGTACATGACACATTTTCATTAGGCTCTGAACGTCTTCCGGTGTCTGAACCCAATAATTTCCCGAGCGAGAGAGATTGGCTTAAGATGCCCTCATTGCTTTAGTGAAAAAATTAAAACATTTTTATTAAAAAGATGTTTTAAGAAGCATTAAGAAAGTCTTTTCAAACTAAGCCTCAGTTTCTGTATAATGGAGGAGTTATGTAAAATAGAACATAAAGGAATGCATGCAAAGCATGACGAACATAACTTGTATAAAGATTTTTCACAAACACAAATAAAAAAAGAAGAATATCTTAAAAAAAAAGATATAATTTTCTTACATGAAGACCCTAAAAAATATGTGAGACTTAGCCAAACTAAAACTATTCCACTAACATGAGCTTGGCATTACAAGTAGTCAACTTTTCCCAAGAACTGCAAAAGGCTAGATTTCATTGCACAGACTTCAACCAGAAGAAACAAACCAATATGGAAAAATTCAAAAATGACGAAGGTCAAAGGATGCTGATGAGGGACAGCAGGGCTTCGCATCAGGCAATGATATTTGCAAAGGATGATGATGATGAGTAGCAAGATTTGAAAGTCAATGGATGTTGGTTGATAGTGCATGAGCCTCAATCGATATAAGTCAATGCACATATGATGATTTATGTTCAACATCAACATCAACATCAATCAATAGGTGATGTCAGTCGATGATAGATTTTGATTGAGTTTAAGAACACCATGATGATTAACTATAGGTTCAAGTAGTAGTCAAAGTTTCATAACTCCATACAACTCTAGTCCAAAATATTAAAAGTGGAAAAAAATAGGGGGGTAAAAAATTGATACGACCCGAAAACATAACTTGAATCCGACCCGAATTTTTTGGTTTAGGGTCAACCCGAATTCGAAACGGGTCGGGTTTGAGTCCTGATTTTCGACCCGTTTTGAATTCCGGGTCGGGTTCGAGTTGACCCATAAATCCGAGAATGCACGATATTTACCCGGAATCCTAAAGTTCGAGCTTATTTATGGGATTTGGCTGAAGAATCGCACAAAACAGAGAAAGGTACCTTCAAAGCGAGTGAACTCTCGTCCCTTTGTTGTTTCCGATCAAAATGTTGTACCATCAAGATGAGTTTAAGGGGGTCTAACAAGCCCAAATGATAGTTGGGTTGCCACCACCCATATGAATATGTCCGCCATAGGAAATCATGGAATTTTACACTTGTTCGTTTTCTCTCATTGAATCAAATCATTTTGATCATAAATTTGCTGAGATTGGTGTCCATATGGCCTCTAAAATAATTTTATAAGTTTTTAATTATAATTTTTTTGTATACAAAAAATTTGGTTGAATATAAAAATTTCTAGCAGAATATCATTCGCTGATAAAGACTCATAGGAAATTTTTTCCGACATATCAAATTCCACAGAAACTTATTTCTAGCAGATTTTCTCGATAGTAAATCTAAAGGAAATATCAATAGAGTAAAAATGTTGCTAACAAAAATCCACTAGAGGTTTTTCCACAAAAATAAGCCACTGATATTACCAACGGAATAGGTTGTCAGTTAACCGCATGTATTTTATTGTGGATTTTATTCCATGAAGTCTGTATTGTCTGTACCTGTGGGGTTGGTTGTTGGTAGACTCGTCGAAAGATTAGTGGACATCGCCAAGCATGTCACAAGCTGACGTGACAGCGAGCCGAAACCCCATTCCAAAAAAAGAAGTATTGTCTGCACTGACAGTTATTCATACATTAAAAATACTCTGTCATACATTTTTCTTACTAAGAAAAACACAACAATGAAATAATGGAATTATATATAGTAGATTTAAACATATAACATATTCAAAAAACATCTTTTAATCTATTTGAATCTACCGTACTTAAAAAAAAAAAACCAAATAAATCAATTGAAATTACAATCGTAGAATCTAAATTGGTATATGATATGAAATATCTGAATGCTCTCTTACATTAACATATCTCAAAATATATATCTATACTCATCATTTATCTCCTTACTCTCTTCAGCCTCATAAATCTCTGAAACTCAGCTTGCATCTGAGCTCATTGCAATTGCATGCCAGCTTGTATTTGCATAATATCTAAGTTATGTCAAATTAAGTTTGTTCTCCAATAGAATAAATCCCGAAAATACTTTTATTTGTTCAATTGGGTCAACTCCATAACCTAAAAGTCTTTAAGTTGCTAGCGTAGGAACATCAATAATTGTAGGTATCATTTTCACTCTTTCTAATTTTCGATTACTACTTAGTCTTCATTTGGAAAGGCTTTTTTATTGCTTTTTAAAACAGAATTTTAGTACAAAAATAAAAAAATTTGTACTAAAACTCCATTTTAGAAAGCAATAAAAAAGCCGTCCCAAACGAAGCCTTAATCTAGATAGAGCCATTGATTTTATTCCTTACCTTTTATGAAAGCATCTTTGTTTTTCTTGAATGGATAAGTAGCATATAAGAACATAAGATAACAATCAAACTAAGTGTCCTTGCCTCCATTTTTTTAATTGTGAATGTCTTACTTAACTCCATGCAATATGAGCAAACTAACTTCCTTCCAATACTCCAAACTTATAGCATCCCATTGAAAATCATTAATCTTCCATAATAGGGCTGTTTCATTTTAAAGTTTGTTTATTTGAAATATCATATGCTAATACTCCTTTCTACACAATTTTAAGGTAATCTTTAAATAATTGTAAGAACACATCAAATTTTCTTTTTGGATTATGTGATCCAAGTATAATGATTGTGAGAAACATATAAGGTGTAATAGCCATTATTAGTACTAGGGAAAATAATTTTTTTTTCAATAGTTATTATAAGTTAAAAATACAAACATGCTTTGCCGTAGCATTGATATTATAGTATTTAAATTACAAGTTTTTTCATATTTTTTGGGCAATGGTGAAAATCATTGAAAAATTGACCTATATCGATACAAGTAATGATTTTGGGACAGTCAAGAGTCCGTTTTACAAACCGATTTCACTAGAATTTTAAATAAAATTAGTTATTTTATAGATATTTTCCTATAATTTTTTAACCCAAAAATAAATTTTAATGAATTCTTAACTAAAAATAAAAATTTATATATTATAATTATTATTTTATCTAAATATCTTAATCACTTAACAAAAATCCATTCTTCTCATTTTAGCTTAACAGAGAAAGAAATCCAAAATATAAGAGATAAAAAAAACCCTAAGCAATTCTCATCAGTCAACTCAATTGGAAGATTTATTTATCCTCGTTTACTAGTCTTTACCTATTAGTTATTTCTAATTTCAATAATTTTATATTTTTGATATTTTTTCAATCAAATTTATATTTCTAATAAACAAAAATGCAGATATATTATTGTATTGATAAAATTTCATGTGCATAACTTTTTATCATATTATAATGTTTAAGATTTATAATATTTAAATATTTATTGATGGACAATTTTTAAAAAAAATAGCAATTTTTACCTATTTAAAAAATTATTTTGAGAGATTTTTACCTACTAAAAAAACAACGATTTTTTGCCGGATGATTTTTAAAAAGCTACGGTTTGAGAAAGAGCAATTATTACGTCCTCCGACCGGATGCAGAGGAACATCCGGTTGTAGGCAAAATCGCGCTTATACCGAGATATAAGTGCGATTTTGCCTATAACCGGATGTTCCTCTGCATCCTTACACCGGACGAAATAAAAGTTCCTCTTGACGGGCACAAATATCGGACGATCGAAATGGAGCGAAAATAGTGTTTAAAGCAATTTTTGTGTGAAATGGAAGGTTGTTGGGCTACAAATTAGGGCACTACCAGCAAATTTTGTGCCATAAATGTCTGCTTGTTTTAAGTATGATTTTTCGAGGGATATTTCCATTGACTGCTCCCGGTATTTTTCTAGCATTTATTATGCCAAAAATTCTGTCCATTTTGACTCCAGAAATTGCGCCAAAAACCGTAAATTTTCTTAAGGTATTTAAAATTTTATTTTAAAATGTTAATAAATGTTAAAAAGTACTCGATCTTTATTTGGGACAACTTTCATACTGTTTCCTTAAACAACTTTCAAATATAATATTTTCTAATTTAAGAAATTTTTATACTTGAAAGCTGTTTTAAAAAGCAACAAAAAAACTGTTCCAAATGAAACCTAAGCCTTTAAAAACTGTCATTCAAAAATTACAACCAATGAGAATTCCAAGGCAGGGCAGCCCAAACCAAGTTTTCTCCCTTAATACCAAACGTATGCATAGAATCTCCAGGAATCATTAACACGCTTTACACTGCAAAAATTCTTAAAAAAATTTATGCAAAATCCGTCAAGATTTCCTAAGACTGTCTATAAAGACTCCGTTACAACCCAACAGTAAGAAGTTGAGTCCAAAACAATGAAAAGCAATACTGATGGATTTTGAAATAACAGTAGGGGACAATCTGAGCATGGATAGACATATGCTCGCGATAATTCAACAACATGCAAATGCCACTTATTTATCCGGTAAGTTTTTTCCAATAATTTCAGGCTTTATTTAAATTTTGAAACGGTAATTTTTGTTTAAAAGTATAAAAATTTACCAAAAAAATTCAAAAAAATGAATTCTCCACCGTTGCTTAGCTTGGTTGGTGGGAAAGTACGGTTGGAAACCCCCCAACCAGTACTCAATTCCCCTCGAGCGGCAACACCTCTTAAGTGGGATTCAATCAAGTGCGGGCCAGGAGATTTCTAGGGTGGGTGCCTCTTTTAGGTCAGCTGAGGATTAGTCATGCCACCAAGCACCCTTCTCAAAAAAAAGAAAGAATTATATTTGTTCTTTGGATCAATACAAACATCCCTGGTTAGGGTTTAGGTTAAGAATGCATTGTAATCAACAATATTTTGAGAGAGCGGATTGACTTTCCGCTTTGTCAGAGGCATGAATCAAGCCAGTGAGATTTGCATCCCTGACCACATGAATATTTTACACAGCTCTTCTTGGTCTATTGGTTGAGAGCTTAGGCTACCAACTAAGAGGTCTAAGGTTCGAGTCTATGTGTATGCGTTGTGTGTGTGAGTTTGCCTTAAATGACCTAAATGTCCAAAAAAAAAAAAAAATGACCAGATGAATATTTTCATACCAAAATGATGATATTTAGGAAACACAAGATCAGTGAATTTACCGAATCTGCTATCTTGCCATTTGAAGGATTTGAAAATTTTTTGGTAATTGCACTCTCATTCAATATGGAAGAAATTCTAGGTTAATGCTCCTCTGGAGGAGAAGATTGTTGCAAAAATTTTCAAATTTTTGCTAAAAACAGTTTTTCTAGAAAAATTCTGAAGTAATTGTTAGACAGCAATTATGCACTGGTTTTTTTTGTCATAGAAAATCTGTTGAAAGGTCAAACGATTAAGATTTTTAATATTCTTGATGTTGTCTGAAAGAGGACTCCTTGGCCTATGTGTTCTCCTAGTTCTCTAGACTATTTAGCTTATAGCCTTCTAGCATTTCATAGTTGCTTCAATTTTAAAATGAAAATGAGAGAATTTCATCTAAAGAATTTCATAACATTTGCTGATCTACAAATTTGCCTAAAGACTAGCCTTTTTTCGGGCTGCTTCAGAATTCTATTGCAAGAATGTGGCATTTAAATTACCTAAACCCATCTAATGCAGCAGATCTTCTACGAATTTGGAGAAGACCAATTTTACTCTGCTGATCAATATTACCACCAACTTAATTCCTTATGGAGCTTACGCGAATGGCTGGTTTTTAATTCTCATTTCACATTTGCATTATTTACGACATAATGCATGATAAAAGAAAATTATAGCCTTAATGCAGTCTATGAAGTCTCTTTGTTACTTTTAGAAAAAAGCAAACTACAACATCCTGGTAGGCTTAAAATGGTTATTAATGGAAAACATGACTTAGGTAAAAACAACACGAAGGACAAACAGGATAGCAAACAAAGGGGTTAAAAGGCTTCCACCTACCTCAAGGCTTTGGTGCCTTCCTAGAGACGAGCAAAAACATCACTGAGGTTCCAAAAGTGTCATTATTCGATGGAAACCAATCCGAAATTCTTGAATACGACCAAGATGGCGAAGTACCTATTGAAACACAACAGCGTTAGAAATACAAGCAAAAGATTTACGAATTGCTATAAACTATTTGCATGCTTGAATTAGCTGTGGAATAGCAATTGCTTACTAAGTATATATTCAATATCTAGAGTTTCAAGGTACAAATAAACTCATTCAACAGTGATTTTATACAGACATTAGCAACTAAGATATCTAGTGAAAGTCTTCTGATATTCAGCTTTCATTAGCATTTTAATAATTCACGAAGAAGGATGACAGTACTAAGAACTAACAGTTAAGGTGGCTTTCCCTGTGTTGTCAAGTTTCAATCCTGGCCCTTTTATATCTGATTCAAGGAGGAAGTGTTTGCCTTTCACTTCTGGTGACATTGTAATATCTCTTAATTCCTGCATTTTTCAAGCAGATCATCAAGTAAAACATGGCAATGCCACAAATCTGTGAATGACTGGTACAAGTCTATAGGCTGAATTAACATAATAAATATGTAATATATAAGGCTTGCAGCAATCAAATTAAATTACATACCAAAGCCCTATCCCATTCAGTATCTGATAGCTGCATGAGCATGAATAAACTTTATCAATGTATGTAGGTCAGACAGCAAAAATCTAAATAACAAATTGATCCAAAGCCCAACCTTCTTCCTATCTCGTGCAATAAGTTGGGAATTGGCATCTGCATGTGCAGCCATCTCATTTACAGCGATATTTATCTTGTCTAAAGTCAGCCTGCCCCGCATGTAACTATGGTACAGATATATAGGAAGTGAAGCACTTTCAACTTAAAGATAACTTGTAAAACACTCATCAAAGCATATAATCAAATAATAATGACTCAGTCCTCAACCTATATATAATTACATGCCATGCACAAAAAGCATAATTAAGTATAAAGAAGAAAATAACTATTAAAACAAAAAATTGCCAAGATCCAGAAAATTGAAGAATCTCTTGTTAATTATCAATAATTCAAACATAATACAATGATTTCCGCCAGTTCGTCAACCATCATCGGACTTCCACTAGTCCGCCGACCACCACTAGAATTCTTCCCGACCATCGCCGAACTTCCACCCAACCACCAACAATCGCAAGAGTTTGCCAGACTCTCACCCGACCATCAATCGTCACCAATTATGACCTCTCCAACCAACATCGCCGACTACAGTCCTTTTAGACCTGCGTCACCAGATAACGGTCCTTCTGACCTCCGTCTCCCATCGACTACGATCCTTCTGACCTCCTTCGTCCATCAACTACAATCCTTCCAACCACCGTCACCCACCGATTAAGGTTCCTCCGACCATCGTCACCCAACTACGGTCCTCCTGACCTCCGCCGCTTGACTACGATCCTTCTGACCACTGCCATCTAACAAGGGTGTCAATTCAGGTCGACGAGTCGGGTTCGGGTCGAACCTGAGTTGACCCGGATCTAAACGGGCCAACCCGAGCCCGACCTGTTTTTGCAAACGGGTTGGACATTTCAAATCGGACCCCCGCGGGTTGACCCGACCCGACCCGGATCAAGACTCAAATAGAGTCTCGAGCACGCTGCGCGCGTCAACGGACAGAGTTTGCGGAGCGCGAGTGAGTGCGCAAGTGCTGCGCTGCTGCCGAAGTCATCCGCGGAAGGGCCAAGGCTGGCTGCGGGCGAAGTCTTCCGCGGGTCCGCGAGCGCCAAAGCGGACGGAGTCATCCGCGGGAGGGCCGAGGGCGGGACCGTAAGTGTAGGGCTGCAGGCCGAGTCATCCGGAAGGGCGGGACTGGCGGACCGCGAGTGTGCATGCGGATTGGAGGAGTTGGGTTGACCTAGTTAGCAAAAGGGTTGGGTTCGGGTTTGGATTTTTGTCCCGTTTCAAAAAACGGGTCGGGTTCGGGTTGACCTGGCAACCCGAAATCAACCCGGCAACCCAACAATCAACCCGAAATCTGCCCGCTGCTGCACGCTAGATGACCCGAGGTCCGCGGACGACTCTGCCAGTCCAATTGTTGTCATCAGCTAACCACCTGATCTCTAATGTTGGAACATCACCTAACCACTTCCAATAAGCTTTCATTGGCATATGGTCTAGCTCCATGCATTAACAGAACGACTTATGATCGTTGGATCAATGCCTGTATGCTAATTGCCACCTGATTTCCTCCCGACCACCGACGGACTTTCGCTAGTCCGCCGACCACCGTCGAACTTCCCATGTCCGCGACCACCGTTTGAGTTCTTCCCGACCATTACAGGATTTCCGCCCAACCACCAACTATTGCAGGAGCTTTCCAAATCCCGCTAGGCCATTGATTGTCACCAATTATGACCTCTCCGACCAATATCGCCGACTATAGTCCTTTCAGACCTCCGTCGTCAGATAAATTTCCTTCTGACCTTCGTCTCCCACCGACTTCAATCCTTCTAGCATATGTCGTCCGACGACTACAATCCTTCTGACCACTGCTGCCCACCGACTACGGTCCTACCGACCATCGTCGCCCAACTACCGTCCTCCTGACCTCCGCCGCCTAACTTGTCCTTCCCACCACTGCCATCCGATTACGATCCTTCCAACCTATATTGCTCGCCGACTATGATCCTGCCGCCCAAACGAACATATAAACATTGATTCGTCCAACTCCGAGGATATAATGTACTCTATATGATGTATATTTGCTACATCGAGCCAAGACCTCCCTTCTAAGGAAGGGCCTCATTTGTAATCAATTGCAAACATTAGTTGATTCATTCAAACTAGGCTAGGCCCCGTGGTTTTTCTCCTTTCCAAAGGTTTCCGCGTAAAAATTATGGTGTCCCTTATAAACTCTATAATCACACTCTCTTATATGTTTATGTGTTGGATATTCGTACAAAGCTAAGACGCTAAATTGTATCACTCTCTACAATCGCGAATATTCTAGGACACAACAAGTGTTACTTATCCTAAGGAAGAAATATCATTATTTCCTTATAGATTAACATTTCTCACCCCTCAACCAACCAAAGTATAACCTAAAACCAACCATTCCCACACAAAATAAACCTATATAAAAACCATCTTTAACTCAACAATGAGAGGTTTACTTACGAAGCAGGCATTTCAAACTTTGCAAGTCCAATCAACTGAATTAAAATAAAAAAAAAAAAAAAAAAAAAAAAAAAACTGAATCAATCTCTATTACTGAATCTATTAAGAAAATCATTAAGCCTACAAACAAACTACAAGAACTTCCGCAAAACATCCTTTATACTCATTTTTATCATACATAAATCTCTCTCATACTCATCTATCACTCATTACTATCATGCAGATTATTTATATCCTTAAAATAATCTCTAAGATTTTAAATAACATGAATTAGAATAATGATGTCAGTGTAGAAATGGAAACCCTTCAAAAAAACTAAATATAAGAATTGGTACAATTACAAAAAGAAAAGAAACCAATGGGATGTAGATGGTTCATTACCATAAAATGAAAATATGATGTTCACTAAGAAGTTATAAAGATAGACTAGCGGCTAAAGATTACACTAAAACATCTAAGATGATTATCTTGAAATCTTTGCTCCAGTTGCTAAAATGATAATTATTTTATTTCTTTTATTATTAGTAGCTAACAAGGATTGGAAGTTAAAAAAATTAATGTGAAAAACATCCTCTTATGTGATGACCTGGCAAAAGAAGTATGTATAGAGGTTCCACTAGAATTTGGCTCAAATGTAAAGCAAAAAATATATAAGCTAAAAAAAATTATTGTATTAGTTCAAACAATCTCCAATGGCATGATTCAAAAGGTTCGACAAGGTAATGCTCAACATGGATCAAAAAAAAAATCAAAGACACCATAAAATATCTATGAGATAAGGATCATAATGAACCAAATATTTACGAATGATCAAATAGTCCTTGACTATTTAAAAGTCCTATTCTAATCACTTGACTTTTAAGATAAGGACCTAAATGATCCCTTGGAAGGACTAATTTAGTCCATATTTAAAGAACAAGGCCCAAATTGGTACTTCTATTTATCCATGAACTATTTTGGTTCTTTAAAAAAAGTTACGGGGCCAATTCAATCTTTTTTCTCAATTATCTATGAAACACACAACTTTAGAGGAAGTTTTCATATTACTAGTTTATATTGACGACATTATCATGATAGGCTTGATATCTACTGACGATAATTAAAAAGAAAAGCTTCAATATTTGAAATCAAAGAATTAGATAAGCTAAAATGCTTTTTTGACACTAAAGTTACACACTCTCAATATGAAATCTTCATATTGTAAAAATATTTAATTGACATGTTGAAAGAGATCAGTATGTTAGAATTAAGGTCGTTAAGAACTTTCTAAAATCTAATCATGAACTTGGATATGCTCCAAAAAAGCACAACTGTGAAAAAAATCTCTTATCAAAGACTAGCGGAAAATTTTACCTACTTATAGCATATTAGAATTGGCATTGTCGTTGTTGTTGATGTGGTGAGTTAATTCAGGCACAATTCTACATAATTGTATCTTAAAGCAATATGCAGATTTTATAATATTTAAAGAAAATCCCAAGTAAATAAATTCTAATAAATAAGGGAGAGAATTTCACACTTGAATCATACACAGATGCAAATTATGTAAGTTTTATAATTAATAGGAGGCCAACTTCAAAATATTGCACATTTTTAGAAGGCGACCTCATGACATGAAGAGATAAAAAAATAAAATATGATAGCAAGATCTAGCACAAAAGTTGAATTTAGATCTATGACACTGATAATTTGTGAATTATAATGACAAACTATCCTAAAAGATTTCAAGCTTTAACAAAAATGACCTATAATGTTATTGTATGATAATAAGTTAACCATCGATATTGTACAAATCTCATGAAATATACATTGAGTTGATCAACACTTTATGAAGCAGGAACCTGAAAGTGATGTAATATGTGCTCCGTTTGTAATCACAAGTGAACAACTTGTTGATATTCTCACCAAAGGATTATCTAGAGTGGTCTTTTATAAATTGTCAGGCAAATTTTGAATGGATAACATCCATTCATTCACTTGAAGAGTGGAAAAAATTGTGTAATTTTTGCCAACTAGGATCCATCCTTTCCAAGATATTTAACATATTTCCTTCATCTTTCAATGTCATCTCATTAATTTATGAGATCCTTACTACCTACACATCAATCCATGGGCAATTGTAATTATTTTGTATTTAATTATTTTCTTTTATTTCATTTTTTTTCTATTAAATACTTGAATACAATTGTACAAATCTTATATATGTTGAAATGAAGAAGACTTGATCAATTCTTATCAATATTACTAAGATATACTAGAAAATGATGTGAAACGTGCATGCAAGAATGATTAACTTAAGAAAATTTGCATGCTTAATATTCCAAGAACACATAATTGTATCTAAATGGTGAATTTAAACGATGCAATAAAACACAAAGAGCGGTAAGACAAGCTTAGGCCGAATCACGTGCGTGAAAGTTAAGATCAGAAAACAATCAAGTTAATCTAACGTTACATACATGAATTGTTTCAACAATAAATCTCTATGCTAACAAAAAGATTAGTACTATGAAATGATCATCACACAAATCTACTAAATACTAAGCTTTAGCGGAGAATAATTGGCATGATCGTCATAAATCACATTAAAACTATAATTGATGAGTAAACTAAGGAGATAAGAGAATTAGATGGGAGTTTACCCAAAAATCAGAAAATAAGCAGTTCCCGCGGCTGTAGGAAGACTTGGGAGGAAGTAGGAGGTATTCAAGAACCTTCATGAAGGTGCATTCAGTGGTTTGGAATGTCCGGACAGTGTTTGAAGACCTTCTAGCGGGCTGGACAGCAAGAAAACATGTTCCAAATCTCCTAAACAGCAGGTTTCAGGTGCTTGAAATGCGAAACAACAGACAGGAGAGGTTTGGACAGCAATGGGTTGAATTATGGGGATGACCAGCTAGTGTGGAACTGCAGAAATTTGCTGGATAGCAGTTTACCAACATGCAGAATTCTGGACAGCAATCCCGTTCAGGAAATACATTAGGTTTTCGTGATCAGTTGGAGGGAACGGAGTGGTGTAAGGGATTAGGAGTTCCCTTGCAGCTCTCACCTCCTCAAGAATTAATTTTGAGAGCTAGGGAGAGAGGCCAGTATACTGTTAGAGAGAGGGAGAGGGAAATTAATCACAAAATTTGGGATTAATTTCCGATTTTAATTGGATTTGGTGGGATTTAATTTGAATTTTGAATTCAAATTAAAGTGGGAATTAATGGACCCTTGTTTGGAACCATGATTTAAGCTCCTAATTAAGGGAAGGAGTAATGGGCGGCCATAGAATAGAGAGAGAGAGAGAGAGAGAGAGAGAGAGAGAGAGGGAGGGATTTGGGGAGAGGATTTGTAACTTCCAAATCAATTTATATCATTTAGGAAAGAGAATGACAACTCAAATCTAATTTGAAATTCAAATAGACTTGGAGTTATACACTTTCCTAATTTAGATTTGCAAATAAGGAAAGTTTTTTAAATTTGAATTTCAAATTTCAAATTGAGGAAAGGGACTAATAAATCCAATTTGATTTATTTTGAAATTGAATTCATGATTGATACTTTCCTAATTTTGATGTAAAACAATACATGCGAAGATGAGTTGCTTAGGGAAATTTGCACGCTTAACAGTTCAAGAACAATTCTAAATAAAACTTATGCCAATTTAAACGCCAAGATAAAATAATAAGGCAATAAAACAAGCTTAGGCTAAATCACATGCGTGGAAGTTAAGATTGTAAACTAGTCAATTACCATGACGTTGCAAACATGATTGGTTCCAACAAAAATCCCTTTCTTAACAACAAGACTAGTCTCTATGTTAGAGTATGCTCAATCAACTCTCTAATTATAAGGCTGTAGCGGAGAGTAATTAACACCGTCCTCATGAATCTATTAAAACCACAAGTGAGAAGCAACTAAGAGGATAAAGAGTTGGGAGGATGAGTAACCCCAAAGAAACAGGAAAGACAGCTCCGGTGGTTGCTTGGGTGCTTGAGAGGAGGTAGAAACTACCACGAGCCTTCGAGATGCAGCAGGACAGCAATCTGGACTTTAGAGGCAGCGGAACAGCAATAGGAGGTTGCCATGATTGCTGGACAGCAGCTTTGGTACTTGTAAAATCCGGGACAGCAGATTTACTCCTTGGATAGCAGCAGCTTGGCCACATTGGAGAGGTCTTTTGGACAGCAGAAACCTCTTGGAGATGTAGGACAACAATACATAGTTGCTGTAATTTCTTAGACAGCAATTATAAAACTCCCAAAGAGAAGGAATTTAGTGGAATGAGCCTTTTGGAAGGCACGGGTAGGGTTGAAGGGGTTTTCTTAAGCCTGAAATTAAATTTCAGGTTCGACAATGAGAGGCTAATGTTTGAATTTTGAAATGAGAGGGGAATTAGGAGGGAAAGTGGGGAGGGGATTTAGTTAATTAGATTCCCAATTTATGGGATCTAATTAATTAAATGGGGACTTGGGTGGCCGGCCAAGGAGAGAGGAAGAGAGAGAGAGAGGGGTTTGGTATTGTGGAGGTGGGCCTAAGCAATTAAGATGATTGAGGAGATAAATCTGAATCTAATTTCATATTTAACTTAATTGATAACCTCTCCTAAATTAGGGGAGGAGCAATTAAGAGAGAATTCAAATTCAATTATTTGAATTTGAATTTTAAATCTCTTCCTAAATTAATGGGCTAAATTAGGAAGGGTGTTATGGTGAAATTGAAATCAGATTTTGGAGACATGGGGGTTTGAATGGATGGAGGAATTTGTGGAGCTACCTTTCAAATATAGCTTGAACAAATTTGGAAGTTATTTGAAATTCAAAATTTGAATTTCAAATTTTAGGAGTATCTCCCTAAATCAATGGGACCAATTTTGGGATAGTGGTGATGAGGGAAGTGGTCACCATTAATGGTGGGGACAAAGTGGCCGGCGGCAAGGTGATGCGCGGCGGGGTTGGGGAGGGTCGGTCGTGGGGGTTGGGTGATGCCGGCGGCTTGGGTAGCCAAAGGTGGCCGATGGGTGGGCTAAGGGGAGGTGGAAGGCTCAGTTTGGAGGGGAGGAGGGTCGCGTGGTGGTGGCAAGGGGCGGGATTAGGTGGCCGGCAGTGGTGACTCCAAAGGAGGGGAATTCGATGCAAGGAAGAATAACAGAAAAGTAAGATAAGAGAACCGTGAACCTTGGAATCCACCAAGATTGACGGGTATTGCAAATCACCCTCCTCGGGCTTCTCCCCTCATGAACTCACTAAGAGATCAACAAGAACATAAAATTTTCATATCATAATCTCATCATCCTTACATGAAGAGGGGGAATGCTATTAAATAGCCGAACAGAATAAAAAAAAAAATAGCAAAGGAACACAATTGCCCCTAAGGCAAACAATGACGAGACTGTTAAGCAAGGGCATAAACGAAAGAAATACAATAGACTCATAAAACAATAAACAAATACATCAGATACAATAAAATCAAAAGTAAGATCGTGACCGTAGGATCATTGATGTTCTGATGTCCTCATCAAATTTGGGATTCCCTAATATGGAAAAAAATTGAAATTCGAATTTGAATTTTAATGAATTTCAAATTTTCATCTCTCAACTGAGCTAGAATTAGGAAAAGTCATTATGGTGATGAAATACTCATAATAGGAGCGAAATTATGAGGGGAGGCGGGCGGCAAACGGGGAAAGGGCAGCTAGGTGAGCGCGGTTGTGGCTAGGTAGTGTGGTAGGGATTTAGGGCGGTGGAGCTAGAAGATGAATTGTGGGAGGAGGTTGAGACCTGGTGGTGGGGGAGTTGGAAGGGTGGGTGATGGGAGTAGGCGAGAAAAGAGATGAAAGAAAAAATACAATAAGATAAAAGTAAAACTAAACGAACTCTCACAAAGAGATCGTAAAACCGTGAACCTTGAGGATCCGCCAAAGTTGACGAGATTGCGATCACACCCCTCGCGGTCTCTCCTCTCATAACTCACAAAGAGGTCAATTTCCTCTCTCATGACTCACTAAGAGATCAGACAAGTAGAATAATAAAATATTTCCTTAAATGAACAATTTCATCCCAAAATCAAAACAACTATCCTATAAATAGGCCTCATGAAAAGAAAAGAAATAAAAGACTAAAATGCTCTTCGGGCTACAATACTACATGACCACCAGTAAGGGTATAAAGGGAAAAACAACAATATAAAATAAATTAGTACATAAAATATATAAATAAATAACTCAAGATCGTAGCAGTTGATCTCCGATGTCCTCCTCAAAAAATCTCTGTGTTCATATTAAATCTAATTAATATGATTAAAGGTCATATTCTCACTTCTATTCAAGTCTCAAAATTAAGATTTCTATTTACATTTGGTGTAAGAGCAAAGATTTCTTTGAGGAATTTCAATCTACTAGAGTAATTGATTTTAATTTTCATAATGGTGGTTCTCCACATATACAACAAAGAAATCTTTAGTCCACCAATGAAATACTAGCCGTTGAAAGGATGTGTCAATAAAAAAAGAGAGAGATCTTTAAGCTCATATGAAACCCTAAGCTGAGATGTCAAAGCATAAAAGCCTCCAAGACGAAAAAAAAAGCCTCCAAGCATGGGTTGAAAAAAAAAACTAAAGATACTCAACAAATATTCACAAGCCTCGAATGAATCAAAGCAAGCCCTATTTAGTTGTACGCATTCAAACACATGATTTTGCTAGTCCTGATGCAGATTTTTCCATACGTAACACCAATCACAAGGAGCTTTGAACGAATTTAGGAAGTAAGGTACAATTAGTTCTATCGAATGCAACTTTATCATCTAAGAAATATTCTAGGGTACCTCCATAATTAATATTTAGTCACATTTAAACACTTCTTAATTGCCTTAGAGTACCTCCACATTTAAGCATTCTAAGTTATCTCCATAATTAATATTGCACATAGTCATCTTAAAATTCTCAATTTCTCATTGAACCATGCTCAACTAATTTAGCAACTACTTTTTAATTGCTCGCCAATTGAATTCATAAAACATAGCTGACCAAATTATATTTTATAAAATTTACTTTTAAGTTCACATTATATCCTTTAAAGGTATAAACTCCTAAAACACTTCTCTAGTTCTCTATTTAGCGCATAGGCACTCCGTGGATTTTCTTTTATATATATATATATAATAAATAAAAAAAGTTCAAACTTATTGCATATGGCTATCATTTATCATTTAATAATATTGATTCATAATTATTTATGCTTGTGTATATATGTTTAGTCTCTATTTTGAATCACATTCATGTCCCTTATTATGTCCATAGATCATAAGCATGAAGCAACAATAAATAAGATTATAACACTAAAGATGCATAATATCATAGGTTCAGAAGTAAGAACAATTTTATGAAGGGATATATACTCACGTTGATAAGGAATCAAGCTCTAAAGCAGTTACATACCAACGTGGTGCAGGACGACGACCCTTTTTCTCCTATAATTGTTGGACTAAAAGCTCATCAACTTAAAAATTATGACTAAAATTACAATAGGTTAGAACGCTATATATAAAAAGCTTGATTTCAAACACAAATTGTAAGCAAGAGCAACAAAAAACAAAAAAAAAAACAAATAATTGAAATCATTAACCATGTGGTGATATATACGATATGAAATTTAATAGAGGAAAAACTTCATAGACATGGTCAAAATTTTTGCAATAAAGGGTTGTTTGATTTGATAACATATCTTATGTTATGTTATATAATATGGCAAATATATTGTTCGCCAATGTCTTTAAATGATTTTCATAAATAACAATCATATTATATTTTTATTGATTGATATCTAATGTCACAACGGAAGAATCATGATTTTATATTTTAATATAGATGGCATTGATATTCATTAATATAATAACTTGAACCAATAATATAGCGCGTGATAAATAACAATAATATCTAATAAAATTGAACCAAATAACCCACGATGCTAGAAACGGAAAGACAACGAGAAAGAAAAAAATAATGTTTTACAAAAAATTATCTGATTTAAAATTTCCACATTGTATTTCTTTTGGGAAAAAATTAGGATAATATATTCTAACATAATTTTCATCAGGATGATCTAAAAATTTGAAATGTCAGCTTTTTTATGTCATATGCTACTGACTATATGTAAATATCTTATTGTTTTATTATTTTGTCATATGTCCAACATTAAGGATCTTTATTATTTTTAATTATTTATAATTAGAATCACATCATTTCATATCATTCGTATATAACAAAAACATCACATGTTAATTTTTTAAGTTCATTCTAATAAAATTTGAATATCATCAGCATAGAACATCCGCTTGTAAATATGTAGAAAATATTAGAAATGATATTTTTTTTATTAAATTTAAATCAGAATTTAATTCTTAACTGAATAAAATGAAGAAAAAATATTTATTTAGCCAACTCAACATAGTAGGATAAAGTCTTGATATTGCTATTGTTATATACTAATTAAATTTGAGTTAGAATATGCTCAATTAATTTTGCTTTCCTTCTTTTGCTAAGGCAAATAATATTGGAATGAACTACACAGAATTTCACATACAGGTGGACAGATTAGTCCTTTTTTTATTTAGAAAATGTGGAGGATCTAATACTTTCTAGAAGTGGAGAGATAGTAAAAGATTAGAGACTCCATCATTACCTTGGGAACAAGAACAATCTCATCTTTGGATATGGAAGTTTCGGTAAGGGTATTCTGGCTTATCAAGTTTAGATTAAAACTGAAAAAGAAATAGGCATATGAAATTAATAGCTGAAAGCAAACGAATTTGTGGATCAGTTTCACCAAAATTCACCTAGCATTAACACCGAAATCTGACAACTCCACGTTTTCGCGCATCCCGGATGGCATATTCGCGAGCATGTGATGCAGCTTCTTTTGCTGGTGCAGAGATTGCTGGATGAGCTTCTGCGGCAAAAACAGGTGGGGATCGAGTTAATAACGATAAGTATATAAAAACTATGAAGACGGCGGGTCAAAACCTTGGCTTTGGGGATCGCACTTCTTTCCTCTTGTAACCGGTTCTTGATTGCTTGAATTTGAGACTCCATCGCGGTTAGGGTTGAATCCATGGCAGTGAGATCGGGCATGCTGGTGGAAGGCACTGAGGTGTTTCGGGAAAACAAGGTTTAGGGTTTCGCTTCAATTACCTGGTACTGGAAATCAGGATTCGGGGGCGGTAGATTGGGAAAAAGAGGTAGAGATTACTGTTGCGTGCCAGGACGAGCTCCTGGAGCTCCATTATGCGAGCGTTGAACGAGGAGACGAGTGTATCTAGTGAAGAGCTTGCTTCTCTCAGATCCATTCTCTGTGGCTCTTCCTCTTCTCTTTTTCCGAAGATAAGTTCGAAACGATCGAAATAGGCGGGAACTGTGAACACAATTCCCAGCTTGATGGGTAAGGGCAAAGGCGGGTCCCTTTCTCTCTTTGTCTATATATATGGATTTTTTTTTCGAATTATATTATTTTTAACTAATGTAGATTAAAAATTTGTATTATATGATTATTTATTAGATGTAAGTCAAATTTTTTGGTTTTTTATGATATAGATTTTTTTTGGGAAATTTTTATAATATATTTCAAACATATTTAAATATGATTATACTGTATGGCTATTATTAGATGGCGTTGACTGATATGTAGAGAATATATAATGTCAAGAGAGATGTAATCAAGAAGAGCTCAAGATGATAAATAATATTTTGAATTTTTTTTTCTAAGAAAAATAAATATTTTTATTAACTTGTTCATCTTCAATAAATACAGTTGCTTAAATTATAAGAAAAATTTATTTTTAATTTTATTCATAAAATTATGCATTTCACGATCATATTTTGTCCACCCTCAAAAGAGAGGCTAGTTTTGTCCTTGAAACAGTGGTGAATGATGATGACAATAACGGCTACAGTTGAAACTGGAGGTGAAAACCATAATCAATTATGATAATAATGAACAAAAATGTCGTATTTGGCAGAGGGTTTAGGGTAGCAAACAAACACAACAATAAACTTGTAAGCAGTTTTATTTGGACGTTTTTTAAATTTAGGCAAAACATTTCAAATCAAATAATCAAATTGCAAAGAAATCGAATCAAAATTTGCTTGTATTAATGTTAAATTTATGCTTTGATATTAAAATTTTAAAAAAATATATTATTTTCATTAAGGTTTTATTTGGGATGAATTTATTACTATTTTTTTAAATTAATTGTTATTAAAAAATTACTAAGAAAATCATCCCAAAGGAAGTCTAAGTTAAATTTTTTTTTTTACTAAAATATAACTTTACAAAATAATAAGATAAGAGAGTCTTCTCAAACAAAATCTTCTTTTTTTCCTATTTTAAAAATATTTTGATAATAAAAAATAACTTTATAAATCAGCAAGAAAACTCACCCAAAAAAACCAACTTCGTCTCGTTGAGAAATTATTCTGTGCGGAATCCGGTTATAGAGCGGTGTTTGGATGCTTATGTGGAAAGTTAAAAGTCCGCAATATTTATTTGACTTGCGTATTGATTGAGTATTTATTGCGTAAAATGTGCGTATTGATTGAGTATTTTATTGCGTATTTATTGAATATTTGTTGCGTATATGTTGCACATTTTTTGCTTATTTGTTGCAGATTTCTCTTCATCTGTAGTTAGTCCGAAAAGACAAACGGGTCGGGTAAGAAGTCAAATAAATATCCTAACTTTTTACACACGCACGCCATGTGTAATGATTTTACTGGCATCCGAACACAGCTCTATAACCGAATTCCACACAGAATAATTCCTCTTTGGGTTGAGAAGGAAAAAATATCCACGGACGGATTCATTTATAACCCTATCCTCGCGTGAGGAAAATAGTTTAGGAGTTTTCGCGTAACACCGGACGCAGACCCACGAGAAACGAATGCCATGGCTATCGCAGAGGCAAATTATTGCATCAGGTGACCTGACAGAGAGATGCGTTCGGGCTCTCTCTGTCTACAGTAACCTGCGCTTTACTGTAGCAGTGCTACAGTAAAGCGCAGGTTACTGTAGCGAGAGAGAGACCGAACGCATCTCTGCGTTCGGTCACCTGACGCAATAATTTGCCGCAGATCGGTATTCTCGAACGCATCGCGGAACTGGAACGCGCCTTCAACGCCCGACTCGCTCTCTTCGATAATTTCGATCACGGTGCCAATCACAGAGTTGCCGGCCACGGCGATTCCACGGAGTCCCGCCTTTCGGTTATTCTCAGGTCCATGGGCGTCTCAGACTTCACCTTCAGGACTGTTCCCTTAGATTACTATGATAAAACCCTAGAGGAGAGGAAGGAGATTCTCGGCGCTTTCTCCGTTAATCACCTGTGCAAAAGCATCGTTTTGGTGATTATTCATTTTCTCATTGGCATTTCATCGAACGTTTGTTGTGCATTTCTTAGCCATTCCATTAAGCGAGTTTGTTGTTTCCTAATTCTGAGATCGTTTTGATTTTCGCATCAGTGAATCCTGGTAAAGTATGCTGCTGTACTTATACTAAGCGCCGTGATCGTTGAATTTCATTGGAAAGTAATCTCCTGTTCAAATTATATAACGTTAACCTTATACTCATTTACTTGGATGCAAGAGCTCCTTAATTTGTAAGCGATGATTAATTTGGCCGCCATTGTTCTCTATGTAAACTGTAATGCTTTGGCGCACTTTGACCTTTTTATTTTCTTATCTGGCTAGCATAATTTCTGGTAAGTGGTAATTTAACAAGCCGTTCGATTTCCATTTTAGACTTTTAGTTGGTTTAATAGTTAAACATGGGCCTTGTAATGCAAGTAGAGAAAATAGTGCTGAAATATCACCGAAAAATACATCAAATGAAAGACAAATCTTACATCAAAATTTTAAAATTGGGATCATTTAAAGTTCATTTTTCAGTACATTTATAGCCGAAATATGCATCTCAAAGAGAAAAATTGAAGGGCCCAAGACCTTTCTATTCTAACATCACTAAGACATAAGTTGTTTAGAGAATATTGCATGATCAAGAGGAATAAACACTGGTCATCCGATTGAATGTCCTATTTTTTGTTGAAATGAATAAAATGCTCCTCTCAAGAGAACTATACTAGACCTAGCTTCTACACATTTGAGGAGGTAGAGATAAGGCCACAAGAATGATTCCTAAGAATAAAATTCAAAATTTTGTTTGCAAGCAGTCAAGACTAGTGCCGATGCTCGTCATCACCATTGAAGCCGACGCTTGTCATCAACACAACATTGACACTTGTAATCCCTAAGAAGTTTGATGTTTTCCCTCGACATCAATGCAAGTGCTTGTCATTTCCAACAAGGTCGGTGCACATCATTGTCACCAAGGTAGATTCGCGTTGCCACAATTAAGGTTAAGGCGCATCGTTTTGTTGCCACCAAGTAAAACACATGTCGTTGCCTCTAATATCGAGCTGACCATCCCCAACAAATCAAATGCCCATCGTAGCTACTAAGGTCGGCGAATGTTGTCGCTGCCAAGGTCGACACACATTATAGTCATCAAGAATTTTCATGTTGTACACAACAATGTCAAAATTTGTTGTCTCCAAAAGGTAAAATGCCAACCATCGACATTAATGTTGTTGCCAAATATATTGATATACAATATCAAATGTAAGGTTGTCGCTTGTCTTTAACATCAATTCCAATGCCCATCGTCTCCACTAAGGCTAATGCCTATTTTGTTGGTTTTTGATCTTCTCTCTTATAAGGAGAATGACAAACCACCAACAATCATTTGATGATATTGTCAATGCCCTAAATCTCCTATAACTTCCACCATAGATGTAATCTTCTATAGCTCAGGTCTCTACATTGTACAAATGCCTTATCAAATTGTGAGAAGGGACGTTCTTTACAACTCATACACATGAAATCATTTCAACTAACCCAAGCTTCATGATTTTTTTCTTTTTGGTTTTTCCATATAAAAATCATCATCTCTTCTATGAGCAACTCACAACTTATTTATTTCTATGTGTTTAGAATTTTCTTATATTATTAAAAGATGATAAACTCTATGTCCCTCAATCGCCATGAATGTTCCGACACTCAACAAGAGCAATATAAAATTAAAATATTTTAATTAGAGAGAGAGAGAGAGAGAGAGAGAGAGTCAACATTGCTTTATGGCGCAGAATGTTGGCCATTAAAAGAGAAGCATAATATTAAGTTAAGTGTTGCTGAGATGAGGATGCTTAGGTGGATGAGTGGATTTACTCTTAGAGACAGGATACGAAGCAAGCATATCCGTGAAAAGGTTGGAGTAACTCCAATGATGTATAAGATTAGATAGAGTCGCCTTAGATGGTTTGATCATGTAAAACGACGGCCATTCGATGACCCTGTTAGGAGAGTAGATGTATTAGATTTGGCCTATGTTAAGAAAGGTAGAGGTAGACCTAAAAAGACTTGGTTAAAAAATATTAGAAATAACCTTTCTTTATTTAATTTAAATGAGAATTTGACTCTTAACAAGACACAATGGAGAAAAAAGATTCATGTAGCCAACCGCATCTAGTGGGATAAAGTCTTGATGTTGTTGTTGATTCTTATGTAAACTACAACTTATCATGTCAAAATCAGCTGGAGTGGAAAACATGAAAGTTGTAGAGAATTTCATTAGCTTCTAATGACACCAAAATCACCTAGTTCTAATAAGTGATGAGAAAGTTATGTCCATATTATTGAAGCAAATTTGGAATTTCTGAATTTGAATTTTTTTCTCAATTCATATGAAAATTGCAATTTATCGTGCAAAAGTTCTTCGAAGTAGAAAAATGAAACTTGTATAAAATTTTATCAACTTTCCAACGATGTTAAAATTGTGTGCCTTTGATATGCAACAAGAAAGTTACGTCTGAAATAGTAAGAGCATGTCAAAATTTTGAGACATTATAATTTTATTTGATTTTTGATAATTGACATAAATAACTATAAATTAAACTCCTCAAATCCCCTCATGATGATGAACGTGGTATAATTCATGTGATTTAAAATGAGGGTTATGGTGACACAACTAACTAGAGAGCAACGGATTGTTAGAGAACTTAATGTTCTCCTTTCTAACTACTATGTTTGATGTACTAGACTAAAGAGAGCGGACTTATAACATGTAAATTGAGATGAACTGAGGTCTTTAGAAATATGTGCTAGGACATTAGGAATTTAATCAGGGGAATAAGTCATTGAGTTAAACCTAATAGATAGATTAGGATAGGGGTGTAAGTGAGTCGAGTTGGCTCGTAAGCCGGCCCGAACTTGATTTGTTAACGAGCTCACGAGTTTAGCTTATCAAGTTACGAGTATGAACACAAGCTCGAGCTTAGTTAGGCTCGGCTCGTAAGCTTGTCAAACCGCTTGTTTAAATTAAATTATATTTAAAATATAATTTTAAAACGATATAATAAAATATATACTAAATATTTTAAATTATTTTACGAGTCAAGCTCGAGCTTTCTTAACGAGCTTGCGTAAACGAGTCAAGCTCGAGCCTAATAATTTTATAACAAGTCGAGCTCAAGCTCAATAAACGAGCTTGAGCTTGAGCTCAGCAAGAGTTAAATAAGTTTAGCTTGATTAGGCAGATACTCGACTTGTTTACACCCCTAGATTAGGATATCCTTGGTCGACGAAGTAGAGTGTGTACATCTTGGTTCACAAATAGATAAGGATGACTCTAGATGGTAGGTCCAAAACATGGAGAGAGATATCTAAGTCAATTAACAGGAGAATGTCCAAAGTTCAAAGCATGTTGAGCAAAGTGAGATTGGCAAATAGCCCTACCATCTCTACTGGAGACTGAGTGAACTTGGGAGATGTGGAGTAATACAGAGATTGGGCCAAGTCAATGCTAGAACATCGATCTAGTAACCACGAGCTCCAGAAGGTTCCTATTGGGTTTGTATGCCATAATAGAAGAACCAAGAGTGTAAGTAGAAGGTTCCTATTGGGTTTGTATGCCATAATAGAAGAACCAAGAGTGTAAGTGCGAGAGACATTCCCTTAGAAATACCTAAAAGAACAAACATGGTATATGGAACCTAAGTATAAAAAATGCATCACAAAATGATGCCAACAGACTCTACAATGCAATGTGTTAAAATATTTGTATCAATATGATTTCCAGTAATGTAGAGAGCGAAGGTGCCATCTAATTTCCAAAATGGAATGTGAAATTTGGTCTATCAAAGGCTCCTATAATGGTTTATTGCTTTCGGGCACTTTAGTATGCTTAAATCAGCAGCCTTTCCCACCGTTTAGACATAATTTAGCATGAGCAATTGCAGGAATGAACATTAATTTGGCTGGCTTTGAATACAATGTTCTACAAGCAACAATCAGGGTGTAGGACCAAGTATGACTGCAGCATATTGTTCTTACTATATCTGAGTTCTGTAGAATATGATCATGGAAAATTTTCCGGTTGTGGCTACCGCTCAGTATCAGTCTAATCAAATAGCCTTCCACTTCATTCTTTTGTTTGATGACCATTCTAATGAATATCAGTGATTTCCATTAACAATATCAAAAGTGAGCTGTGTTGGAACCATTTTTCATGTCATGTTCTTCACTCCTCACTAACATATCCTGCCATTCGCTTACCAACCTTGTTGTGTTTACAGTATGCTGTTTTCTAATTTCTTTTGTTGAAACTGGTTCAAAAGTCTGGCCTTTTTCTGTATCTCAGGTTAATACTCAAGCTCCAGCTAATGTCATTGACTGCAGTGATCACAACAATTCCAAGTATTACATTGTTGTAATACAGGTACTTCACAAGTCTTCTATATTTCTTTTTGATAGTTGCACTTGCCGCCAAGTCCTTAAATAGTTTTGTTTGTGTTACAGTATGTTGCTCGGTTAAATGCTGAAAACATCAAAAATTTTCTTTATGCACTTAACAACCAGCGGATACCAAAGAAGAGATTCAACTGTGCGTTTACTTTCACATCTCTTTGATAGAACTCAATTTATTGGTTTTTAAGCAGATGCATTCAAATCTTTTGTTTGAATTTTTTTTATAATATGAACTCACAATGTACTGGCATTAATAAGTAGTAACATTGACCAGTTTTCATCATGAAGCAAGGGATTGTTCTTGCGTAAAGTAATTGTTAGTACCATATTCTACAAAAAGAATTCAGGTCTCTACTGGCATCGATCATGATTACTATCATCTTTAGCCTTCTATTCACCATTTTATGCATTTATAAGTTCCAACACCAAGAATTGAATTTTTTTATTAAATTAGCATTTATACAATTAAATTATGTTTGAATCTTATCAAAGAAACCATAAATCTGTTCAATAGAGCACTTTATTGTGTCTGTTCATACTTCTTCTAAATCTGCAGCAGATTGCAAAATGTTTTGTTTAATCTCTGACTCTCTGTAAAGTCCAATATTTCTTTGACCGCTATTCTTTCCCTATTCATGAAATCCATGATTAACTTCCGCATCAGGGATTCCACTTTGGTGCAATATATCGTTTTTGTTATTTTCTAATCTTTTGTAATCGTGAGATCCGGCAACTGATGTTCTGTTAGGTTATTACAAATCCCCAAATATTGCATGGAGTTGTTCAAGCATGGATTAGAAATATCCAAATTATATGAGTTATTTCATTATGTGATTAAGGAAATGATGTAAAACATACATGTGAAGATGAGTTGCTTAAGGAAATTTGCACGCTTAATCTTTCGAGCTAAAAATTATGTTGATTTAAACGCTAAGATAAAACAATAAGGTGATAAAACAAGCTTAGGCTAAACCACATGTATATGAGTTAAGATTGTAAAACAATCAATTAATCTAACATTGCATACATGAATGATTTTCAACGTAAATCCCTAAACTAACAATGAAAATAGTCACTATGAGGCAAATCCCTCTCTCATTTCTTAAGATGCTAGGCTTTAGCGGGGAGGATGACGATGAACTCGAAGAATTAATTAGTTCCACAATTGAGAATGACTAGGAAAATAAGAAATAAGGGAAGAGTTCACCCAAATCTTGGTCTTGGAACTTTGTGACAGCACTTGGAAAGGTCTCCTGGATTGGATTGTCACTTTCTTTGGCTGAATCTTCTCTAGACAGCAGTCTGGATCTTGTTTGGAGAGTTGGGACAATAGCTGGGGGATTCCTGAGCAGCAGGACAGCAGTTTTTGCTGATGAAAACCTTCTGGGCGGCAACTAGAGGGCTCATGGCAGCAATTCAGCTGATCTCCCCTTGCTGGAATGGATGGACAGCAGGCTGTCCTTCCTTAAACAGCAGTTCGAGAGGGTCTTGTTGACAGGAGAGGCTTGGAGAGGTGCAGGAATTTTGGACAGCAACCCTGTTCAGGAAAAATCAGGCTTTCGTGATCAGTTGGAGGAAAGGGAATGGTGTAAGGGATTAAGAGTTCCCTTGCGGTTCTCTCCTCCTTTGGAATTACTTTTGAGATCTAGGGGAGGGAGGTGGGTGGGTAGAGAGAGGGGAGTTGGGAGCATGCCGGCAGCATTAGGAGGGAGGGAGGAAACAATGAAGGTTTTGGATTGCTTGCCGAATCAGTAACTTTCAATTAGGAATAGATTAAATCAATCCCAATCCCAATTTGAATTTTAAATTGGGCTTAATTTGGGAACTTGAATGGTGATTGATTAGGCAAGCATTAATGATAAATAAGGAGGGGTGGGCCGCCCTAGAGAGGGGGGGATTTGTGTCCGCATTCAGGGGCTGTTTGGTTGTCTGCAAAGTAAACGAAGTGTAAAGTAAATGCAGTGTAAATTAAATATAGTGCATTCCAAATACTTTGAGGCTGTTTGGTTATCTGCAAAGTAAACGCAGGAGAACTGTTTCCCTTGTTTGGTTAGATATATCCAAAGCAAAGTAAAAGCAGTGCATTTGTAATATTTTTTTTGTCATTATAACTAATGTATTTATAAAAGCAGTTATATTTTTTTTTGAAATTATATGATATTATATTCTACTGTGTATTAATTTAGCAATATGCTGCAATAGACGTAAATATATTTGTAATTGAGAGAAATTTTAATTTTAATTTTGTGAAAATATAAATTTTTAATTTTAGGGATTACAATTTTTTCAAAAAAAAAAAAAGAGGAACCACATTTTTTATATTCTTTTTTAAGGAGGTGATGTCACAAGTTCTAGATATTTACCTTTTATATATAATTGGATCAGGAAACTCTCATAACCAGTTCGTTCTGTGCCCGTAAGATTCCTAAACAGAGCTAAGTATCTCTGCTTCTTAATTCCCTAATAAGAAAAGCATACAAGATGGATTGGGTGAGAGGCTCCGCTATCGGTCGAGGAAGCTCCAGTGTCGTCCACCTCGCATTTCACTGCCGGAGCTACCCGGCTCCAACCATACATGCCGTCAAATCTGCCCCACTCTCCTTTGCCTCCCTTCTTCAGTGCGAAGAGGCCATACCTCATAAGAGATCCCCTATTTGAACAAAACATATCTTCATCAACTTGAAACTCAGAAAGTATATGGAGTTCATGAAGTTCTGATGGGATATTGTTAGACCGGTCCACTGGACCGGTCCAGCCGGTCCAGGCGGGACCGGTTCACGCCCGAATATCGCGAAACAGGCGATTTGTTCGCCTGGGCGGAGGCCGCGCGCACCGCACGCCTTGCGGGAGCCGAATAGGAAGCTTTTTTGGGGAAATTAAGAGGGGAATTTGAATGTAGGGACTGTTTAGGGATTTCCTTTTGATTTGTATGCATTAAGTAGTAGATTTTCCTAGGGTTTGGTCATCTTGAATTTGGCTGAAATTTGAGATCTCTTAGATTTAGGTTTCTTTGGGCTCTAGCGGCGTCTAGAGATTTGGGAGAGATCGATCCTCCTCTCGAATTGAGGATCAATTGTATCTTGCTCTTTTATTCATCGTTTAAGTGGAATACAAGTCTTTTCTTGAGTTTTCTCTCGTATTTTCCCGAACAAGTGCTGTTTTTCTGCTGTAAACAGCAGAAATCTGCTGTTTTCCTGCGTGGACAGCCAGTTGGCTGTTGTTGGTTCGCAGATTTTGGATAGGTTGCTTGTGAATACAAGCACTTCCTATCAGATATCAAAACCGTTATTTCCAAGTCTGGCGTTTGGTAAGTCAAGTATTATTGCTGGTTAGCCAGTAAGAATAGATGACAAAGACTCTAGCAACCATATTTCTCTTCACACACAAACTCCCATTTCCATTTTGCTTCTGATTTTTTCCTTCAATTATTCAAAATAATGCATAAGACTCAATATAACATTTGAATTCACTAGAAAAATGCCAGATGTAGCTCCAAAAATTAAGGGCTTCGAGCTCATAAGTTCATTTTATCAGCCGAAATACTGGGATAAGACTAAAACAATGCCGGCGAGTCATCACCATAGAATCATTGTTTCTTTACCAATAAAAGAGTTAACAGTAAAGATGCAAACATTCTTGAGGTTTAACTTTAGATATGTATGAACATTACAATCAAACGATAAATTAGAGATGCTTACAGTAACTTCAAATAAATGAGTTATCTGAACTCTAATGTGAAGCTTCCTTCAAGACAAAGATCTCTCAAATTCCTGTGGCAGAAATAAAAGATAATAGTAAGAGAAGAGCATAAAATTATAGCTCAAAGGAGAATTGGTTTCGAACAAAAGTAGATGCACATATTGTTGACCTCGTTTTTATTTTCTTTTTATTTTATTTTTCTTTGCCCTCGACCATGTTTGATCAGTTCAATTGAGTCACGATGAGTTAGATCCAAGCCGAATCAGTGCTAATCTGAACTTAATTTAGCTAAATTTGCATTAATTAAATTATATTAAGTTCAAATTGGCCCGAATCGAGTCGAATCTGACTCGATTGCACTCAATCAAATATGATCAATTCATGTCGGTCACTTCGAGCATGATTTTTATTTTTGATTGATGCTGATTTTGGGTTCATCTTTATATGATTAAATCCATTGAGTCTGCTCGAACCCAAACTGACTCGAATTGAGTCGAATTTGGACTCGAGTCTAACCCGGTCTTAGCCAAGTTTGATTTGATTCAGCCTAATATAATTCCACTAATGTTCATTTGACTTTATTAGCAATTTGAATTGATTTTCTAAATTCGGAAACGCAATCGACGGTATCGATTTGCCTTGAAACCCAAAACCTGCCGTCGCTGCAGTGCCTCAGTCCCTCGGTCGCGTGATTTACTCGTTTTGGAGGAGATGCAGAGGTCGGGAGAGTGATCGAAAATGCCCAGTCCCCTTCCCAGCTTCTCTTCGCGCGAAATCGAGCCGAAGCTCTTTGGACTTGAATGAAGAAAAGATCCCGCCTCGATTTTCGTTTTTTTAATGGGCATTGGCTCCCTCTCTCGGTTGTCAAGACCGGCGCCCTCTCTCTCTCTCTCTCTCGTTTTTTTGGTCTTGCCCGAAGAAGCCCTAGACAAAAGCTTGGCTCCCCGGCTCCCTCTCTCTCTCATTTTGGAGCCGGACTCGACGCCTCCTGATGAGGACATCGAAGATCAACGGCTACGATCTTGAGTTATTTATTTATATGTACTAGTTTATTTCATATTATTTTTTTTTCCTTTATACCCTTACGGGTGGTCATGTATTATTGTAGCCCGAAGGGCACTTTAGTCTTTTATTTCTTTTGTTTTCATGAGGCCTATTTATAGGCTAGTTGTTTTGTATTTTGGGATGATGATTGATAAATGAAAATTTCTACTTTTGATCTCTTTGTGAGTTCATTCTTCCAAGATCTCTTAGTGAGTTCGTCGGAAGAACTAGATCTCTTTGTGAGTTCTAGCGTTCGTCCAAGTTAATTGTGTGGAAATCCGGATTGAAGAATAATAAGGTTAGTGAATTCGTAGTCGCTCGAATCCCTTGAACTTTCCCTCTCTTCCTCCCCTTGCAATTGCCGCCGCCCAGCCCTGAGCCGCCCAAGCCGCC